CAACTTGAAAAACTGCTTTTGTTAATTAACACAAGGTCAGAGTGCTGACAAACTTTATTTTCTAAAATCAGATTTTCAGAAAATTTGCTGCTTGAAATCATATAAGAATGGAACATTCCACTCTTGCCTGGAGAATCTGAGTTACTTTGACAGACAGAAGCAGCTTCAATTTCCAACCCAGGTGCAGAGCTTCAGATAAGGAGTTTCCAGATACAACATTCCACATTTATCTTCACACTGTAGTTTCCAAGGAAACAGGATCCCAAGTCCTCCTGCTAGTTCAAGCCTAATGTTAATCCTTTTATACATAGCCTGGTGTGCTTTGGGGCTATTAAAACACTGCTTCTTTTGCATTTTACCTACACTCCATCTTTCCCTCAAAGCCTAGAATAACTAACTCCATCTCTTCCTGTGCTTGATGAGATGCTCCATGGTTCACTTGTACAGTCTTCCTGGCGGCAGCAAGTTAATAAACCTAACTCTGTCTGACCACAGATGGTCTTTATCTTGGGGATTAGCAATAACGTATGTAAAATGTGTGCACGCTGCTTGGCACCTAATAGGTATTTAAGAAATGATAGTTATTTTTATGATTTATGTATTAATTCAATAAATGTTTATTTGGCACCTAGTATGCGTAAGGCACAAATTTATTGCTATGAGAGATGAACAGATGGAAACCACTTCTATTTTAAATGGAGGAAAAAAAACAACTATATCTTCAATTCCTAGGAGATAAATGCCTTTACTGAACTTTGTTGTTGTTGTTAGGTGCTGTCGAGTCAATTCTGACTTATAGCAACACTATGTACAACAGAAGGAAACACTCCCTGGGCTTGCACCATACTCATGGTTGTTGTTGAGCCCATTGTTGCAGCCACTGTATCAATCCTTTTCCTTGAGGGTCTTCCTCTTTTTCACTGACCCTCTACTTTACCAAGCATGATGTCCTTCTCCAAGGACTGGTCCCTCCTGATAACATGTCCAAAGTACGTGAGACGAAGTCTCATCATTCTCACTTCTAAGGAGCATTCTGGCTGTACTTCTTCCAAGACAGATTTGTTTGTTCTTCTGGCAGTCCATGGTATA